GTTGTTTTTGTGTGTCATCAGAGAGCAGGCGAGGTGGGCTACACAAAAACTAGCATGTTTTTTTCAGCCGTTGCCTCGCTTTGGCTGGTGCTGTTTGGTGGAGGCAACCAAAAGAAGGCAAAAAAGACTTGGGCGCTCAGAGAGTTCAGAGGCACCCCAGGTGCTTCGGCCGTTTCGGATCCACAGCAGATGGTCGATTCTGGTGCTGTGAGGGACCAAATCGTGCTCGATGCACAAGGAACCGCGGGACCTATCCTGTTGCACAAGGCTCCTACAATAATAATAGGGAGCACACTTTTCTGGTGCTTGGAGAGAGCAAGACCTACCCACACAACCCACTGCCGTGCTTCCGCTGCAGCACACGAACCCACAAGCGCACTGCTGCCACAGCTCTCCAATTGTGTGCCCGGGGGGTATCGGGCGTAATTGTCCTGACGACGCCAGCGGCTCGACGCAGCTCGCCGTTTACGGAATCCTCTCGGAATTGTTTTCTGCGGAGTATTTTTTTGGTTCCCACTCGACTTGATTCCTTTTGTGTCTGTGTACGATTGTATGTCCGCCTCATCAGCTGCGCTGGCCCTTGCTGGATGCACGGCATCAAGTACATATACACTTGTGTACCGATCCGAGTCTTGTAGAGCGAGATCCAGGTGGTGGGGTAGGCGCAAGGCTATATCTACTGCTGTACCCCACCAGGTAGCTGTGTAGCCACCCCCACAACGAAATTTTTGTTGTACGTTGGATTCCATAACCGGCAAGCTGCGTCAAGTTGACGTTAGCCGATACCGCTGGATTTTGGGTTTTTTGGATTTGGACGGAGTAAACTCCGTATGCATGCAAGGGCCGCCACGCAAATACGGCGTTTCTACCGTATGCATATTGATGAGGCTAGTCTCCAGACTGCTCGCCTCCAGCTCGATCTCTGACACACACACCAACTTTGAGGACACAGAGTCTCGTTTGAGGTTGCGATGCTGCCGTCTCCTTCGCAAATGCTGCCGTCTCCTTCGTTGCGGTACCAACGGAGGAGGAGTCGTTTTCGGGTAGCTGTGGTGGTGGCTGTAGCAGTGGCAGCAGCTTTGGCTGCATCTCTTGGTTTTGCAGTTACCGCACCCGCTGCGGCCGCTCAGGAAGCCACCAACCTGCGAGAGCTCGCGGTTAGCCGTGGGCAGACTCAAGACCAAGGACGGGTGGAGTCTGTGCCACGGCAATATCCTGGGAAGGGGCCAGGAGGCTACAACGAGTTCAGCTCTCTCCCCATGATGGACGTGGGTGACGAGTGTGCACCTAGCCCTCTCTGGGTCAAAGACGTCGACCCGTCGAGCTATGAGCTGGGGTGCGAAGAGATTGAGGTGCGTTTCTGCTGTGAGTGTTTTTTCACGGTCGACTTCCAGTGTAGTCCATGAGATGAATGACGACCGTACTACGAAGTACTTATTATGTAGCCCCCGGGCCTCAGAGTGATGGTTTGAGTTACGTTGCCGTTTAAAGGTGGGAGTCTACCGCTCGCTGTAATTGCATAGATTCAGGGTATAAGAATGGTTTTTTTTTTCCCCACAACTGGCTCTCTGTGGTCAAAGATCTTCCAGCATGCGTGTGCACCCATAAATCACGGCGGCAAGGATGGTGCAGCAGTGAGTCCATGTGTGGGGCTCACAGGGATGGGGACGCGATATATGTAAGGGTGACGAACAGGAGTAGAGTAGTACTGCTGCTGTACAGCAGTAGCAGCTATGCGGAGAGAAATAGACTACTTGCAGCAGTAGTAGTTCTGAGCAGGTGTGCATGCCTGTCTCCGACAGCAACCGTCCGCACAGAGGATGTACCTGTACAAGCAATACCTGTTGGCACATCGTCTCCACCTCATCCTTGAACAGAGCATACGGCAAGCGCATATTTATGCTAGCGGCGGAAGACGCGAAGATGCTGACGGGAAACCGCCTCACAGAAGCGCCAGATCGACGAAAAAACGGCCCTCTCATCAGAGAATCGAGACCATCATCCCACCATCGCACGCACAAAATGCATAAAAATCGTGAAATGTTCTGCTAATACAAATAAATAGAGAGTTACGTCAACCACACAGACAGCATTGTTCTGTGATGCAAGTGCATTACCGTCGTCGTGCAAGGAACACTTGAGCCGTCGTGCACACTCTCTCGTCTGGCTACACTGAGACCTGCGCCTTGATTTTCGTTGATAACCGGATGATTCGCGTCACCCTGAAAACAATAGAGAGAGCTGGTGCCCGTTCACGAAGACCTTGGAAAAATCGAGCCTCGATAAACTGAAAAATTGAGAAATCGAGCGCCACTTACTACTTGTCCCCGTTGTTGTGTACCCCAACACAAAAACACCTTCATTTTTACAAGCATGTATGTGCATAGCATAACCAACCCTAGAAACCCCAGCCTCGGCCAAAACTCTAGAGGTTTTTAGTGTGGGCGCTCAACTATGTAACCAACTGGAGCCACAGGCCAATCGCGGTACAAGGTAGGGAGGGAGGACTTTCTTTAAGGTACTCCTCGGTAACACCGTCTTTTTACGCGGATACAGGCGGGGCGGTATTCAATTTTGCGGTTCTCTTTTCGGCGGCTCCCGGTAGTTCGTTTTTCGGCGGTACCGTCTTTGTTTAACGGGTCCCGGTATTGCCAAACATGGCGGAATTTTTCTGGCAGTTATGAACTATGGCGGTACCGCCTTCGGCGGTTCCCGGTACTGCCAAAAATGGCGCCGTGTTTGCTGCAGTAATGAAATATGGAGGCTTTTACCTGGCGGTAGTGAAATACGGCTGTATCGCGTTCGGCGGTCGCGGGAAGACTCGAGGATATCTTAATATGGCGATGCCAAACTACATTCGGTGCCCTTGGGCGCCCCAAAACCGGCGAACCTCTTTTTATATTTTCTCAGTATGACCCAACGAATCCATCTCCATCTACAGAGAAGAGTCTAAGATAGATTAGCAATGAATTCGTAGCGTCAGCGAAAGCTCTGTTGTAATGTAGTATACCGTTGAGAACGTAGTATACAAGTTTCCCCATGGCTTCATTATTTCAAGATGCTAGCATACCCATGGTCAAATTAAGCAGCCTCGTTTACGCTGGGGCAGGTAGGTGTGTGTGCGTGGACAGGAGGCATCCCATCACGGCGAAAGATAAGAAACGGTTCTATACCGAAAAGGAACACGACCGAACCGAAAACATAAAAATACAGGAAGAAAAACAAGATACTTTCAAACTTCCAAAAAAAACAAGGGAAAGAAAGGAAGACAAGCTAGATTCGAACTCGTGTTCTTAGCAGATACCATCGTCCATCGTGGACTCTATTAGAGGAAGTTCCAGACGCGACGCAATTACCCCACAGTGGAACGACATGGCGGTGCTTTGCGGTGGTACTGCAGCATGGCGGCTCTTTTTAGGCGGTTCCCGGTACTTCGTTTTTTGGTGGTACTTTTTCGGCGGTCCCGCAATGTGACGGTACGTTTTCGGCGGAAGGCGGTATTTCGGTTTTCGGCGGTACGGCCTTAGGCGGTTCCCAGTACCACCAAAATGTGGCGGAAATTACCGCCAGTACCGGGCCCGCCCACCACGGCGGGAACCCCCCCCGGGAATTTTCCCGAGGAATACCCTGCTTCTTTTCAAGATGTCAAATGTGATCCCCCCAGGCATACGCACAGGAGATAAAGACGAGGATCTCAGGCACCAATTCCGTCCCCGTAGATGTCACCATCCTTGACCCCGCAATAGAGGAGAAGCATCCACTAATCGATCCAAACACCAGGATCCGCCTTCGATGAGAGAGGATCAAACTAGCAAAGTTCCGACCCGTCTGGGTCTACCCTCCGCACTACTTCTTTTTCGTGGGCTTGCCGAAACACCAATAGCTACCGTCGACCAGAGGCATTGGACTACACCAACACGATTCGCAGACGGTTTAACCTTGGAGCTACTTCTAGTTTCCAATGTGTGCGAACTCGTGATGCCATGGATGAATGATCGACCAAATCCCACCACGGCCAATTGGTCGGAATATTGACCGTGCCGGCGATAAGGAGGATGGAGGTGGCATAGACGGGAATATATGTTGTAGTGTACGAAGGAGGAGGAAGCGGGAGAGAAGAGAGGGGTGGAAACAACGACGGGGAGGGGGAGGAGGAGCAAGAGTTTGGACACAGAATACCTTGCGCACAGAGAACGACGGAGGCATAGAGAGCTGCCCAAAAGTCAGTAGCCTTCGCAGGGTTCTTCTATTCAGATATATCATGTTGGATTAGGGTTAAGGATAGGGATAGCCCCCTTCTAGTTCTATTTCCTCATAAACTTATTTCTCGCGAATGCCGTCCCAGTAGCCTAGAATGTTTTTCGGGGAGAGTAGTACACATCGGGAAAAAGAGCAACAAGAGGGCTGAAACGCACGCGGATACAAAGAGTAGCAGCCTTGGTAGATCCGTCCAGAATTCTGTGTTTGCTTCCATTTCTGCCATTATTCCAGAGAGCAGCTTGGCCTCGACCATAGCGCGCCCTTACGGGATCCCAGAGAATGGTGGATTGCGACGGACATATTTTCATTCGTCAGCCGGTTGGCGCCGCGGATGTCATTATTCAAGCAACACAAACATACAAATTACTATCCTTCTTGAACTGGAATTTAAATCTAAATAAACCTCGGATATCGAGAGGTTGGAGCATCGTGTAGGACCGGTAAACGGTAAGCACAACAAGGGGGGAACATGTCGTCCACGCCAGCACCGCCGAGGCAGTCGTATCTCGCAATAGTCTGAGCATGTTTCGTACCCGGTACAACGCATGCGTTTTGCTTGCGGCTGACCTCTTGTGTCGGGGGGAAATGTTACACAGGATATGCTGGCAAACAACACGAGACTCGTCGGGGAGGGCCGTGTACGAAAAGTGTACTTGGCAGAGTACGGGGATCAGACGGTAGCTGTGAAGGTACTCCAGCACGAAGAGGAATTTCGCGGGCATCGGGTCGAGGTGGCAGCCATGGATGCGGTGAGTTGGTTGAAAGAGTAGGCCTGTCTCTCGCCCAAGACGACACCTATTGGGCGCTCATTTTCGTCGACCCTTGGAGGGCTACACGGGTGCATCATTTTTTCTTCGCGGTTGGCTGGCTGGATGTTTTTTGCCTTGGTCCGTGTATGCCCCATTGCCAAAACACCTGAATGCGTGAGTGTGGGTACCTGGTGGGTGGCGACGTGAGAAAGAGTGCCCCAGGCATGGCCGTGGTCGCAAGGAAGTACCGCCTAAAGTGAGGCGTACGTTTGTTTTGTGATGTGTCTGGACACGTCTTGTATTTTATCATAAGTGCCCCTCGCGTCTCCCAGGTGTTGCGAGGTGTGCAGCTGGCCTACGGTCACCCCAAACTCAACATGTAGCCGGCGTTGTCGGGTGCGAGGAAACTTCCCGTTCGCATTTTGCTACATGGCAATAGTTGTTACTAGGGACGCCAACAACAACCACGTTGATGTCGTCGTAAAATAGACAACAGGATCAACATCACCACCAAAAACTACAAGTGCGACCCTGATGGTATCTAGAAATAACAATCCTGGAACGTACGCGGGATAGGGTACACCGCATCCCTGCACGGTCCCTTTAGCATTCTTAGCGCATTTTGACTATTCCAAGGACGGGGGTATGCACTGAGCCATCGGACTCATGCTCAGGAATGGTTGGGTGTCACGCTCATCACTGGCGTATATTCCTAGCTGTGTCCCGTAGTCGACGAACGGCACCAGCTGAGAGTGTGTGGGTGCTATCTCAGACTCGCCGCATCTGCGCCGTCAAGCAGACAATCAGAACCAATATATTCCGTGCCGTCACCTCATGACGAGGGGTGTGATAAACGCCACCGCTCGGAACGATGGTAAAAGCACGTCAGGTTTTGGCGAACGTTCGTGCCATATCATAGTATTTAGACTGATTTGATCTGTATTCGAAACCAGTAGACCACCCGAGAGTCTAAATCGTCGATGTTGGGCGTTGTAGAATACTCACCACGACAGATGGTAGCAATGATGTGAAAGTTCCGCCCTGCTCTCGGTATGTATGGCGCTCTCAACCATACACCTGCGAAGGTGTACCGATTCTGGTAATCGGGTCCTCCTTAGCAACACCGTCGACCCCCCCCGATTCATGCTCGTCCGTCATGACGCCGATCGCGAGAGAAGGTCAGAGGCAATCCACACATCGTCCAAATGCTGGGCATTTGCAACACCACGGTGGTAACCGAAGCCTTCACGCTTACTCTTCAATCCGCCGTGCACCGCAAGGGCACGACGGCTCTATCGATAAGCGAGGCCGTCAACATGTCCTTGGACGCCGTAAGAGGCCTGCAAGCCCTTCACGAGGCTGAGGGAGGGCCAATCGTACACTTCGATGTGAAGCCGACCCAGCTTATGGTGACAGACAGCGGGGGACTGAAGCTCAATGACTTCAACGTTGCCTGGTTCATGAGCCAAGGACCAGACGGGAAGCCGTGTCCTTTCAACATGGAGGGCAAATTTCGGGGGCACGGCTCGCCCTGGAGATCGCCCGAATACCTCACCCGAAAGGTCAGCGACAGTAGGAGAGGTGTTTGTTCCATGGGTTGTTTCTATAGAGCGGTCGCGGAGGAGGCTGGCTGAAGCAGACAAGTTCGTGGTAGGCGGCAGGCGACAGCGATGTTGACGGCCTCACCGGAGGATAGAAGTATCTTAAGAATGAAAACACCGACGAGGATCTTCATCAAGGGTATTAAGCTGAGGAAAACCAGGGATAAGTACCCGTCCGTCACCCAGCCCGTGCTTTAGGGGCGCCCCTGAATGTAATGCACCATGGCAATGGCGAGTATCATGGGAAAACCCAACCGGGCTTAAACTTCCCTCCAACAGCGGTGAACACCAAGAACGGAACTTCTCCGGAGAACCGTGAAGATCGCTGGAAATTAATGCGGACGGTAGGGTCACGTGTGTGGAACACATCACGTCTCCACTTGTCAAGCTGGTTGAATATGACATTCACGGAGGAGGGGTTGGTCGGCTTTGACGGGCGTCGGTTCCGTCTTCTGAGGCGCTCGCAAGTTCGTCTCCACGAAACGACGACAAAACGTGCAGTCTTCCTCCTGCATTGCGCCAGCTGGTGCGCCTAAACGTTCTAAACAGGATACATGCTCGCGTCCAGCATCGATGGGATTTCAACACACACCTCAACAGCAGTACGCGTGCCTTGTCCCAACGACGTTTGTCACGTCCCCATCGTTCTTGCCCCTTCTCATCGTCGTTTGGAATTGTTTCAAGCCCATGACGGAGAAAATCGATATCTACAGGATGGGTCTAGTCTTTCAACAAATTTTGGCTGCCGCCGGCGTGAAGATGCCAGTTGCGCAAGAGTCGAAGGATGATGTCCCCGTCGTCGCCACAACGTGGCACTGGAGCTACTATGAGGTGCGTGGGTGTAGTTTGTGTTCGTCGACGTCGCTTACCTGCTGACAAATGCAAATTCCTCCCTTTCAAGCGGGATGGTGGAAACGAACGCGTGTTGTGGTCAGCGGGCGTGCGGGCGTGTCGCGTGTGTGTGTGAATCCCATGCCGCGTCTGCTTCGTACGAGTAGGCGCCACCTCCGCACAAAATGTGTGCGCGGTATGTGTGTCCCTCTACCGTGTGCACTCGTCGCTTCCACGGAGGAACACGCCAGTTGTCTGTCTGAAAGGCTTGGTAAGGCCTCGTACGTTTTGTTGTCACTTGAAACAACACAAAGAGGCGACTTACGACTTGAGTGGTTTGCGTCGCTCTTCCAATCGTTCCATTGACAGGGCGTTTATGCACTAAAGTTGTGACAGAAGACGATTGTCGCCCCGATAACAACCCATGGTCGTTGAATGCTGATGTGGTCTGACAACTGCGCGGACACCAATATGCTTGCCGTTGGAAAGATCGTTCAAGACATGATTGCGATGGAGGCCACGCAAAGACCGTCCGCTCGCGAAGTCGCTTGGCGGTTAAGGGGGATCCTGGAAGAGCTACCCGAACTCCCATAGTCTCGGGACGGCCCGGTTATGGGGGAACGAGGGTTAATAAAGGACTCTGAACCTCACCGCTGTATCGTTTGTCGTCGTCGTCGCCCTTGTGGCCGTGGCCGACGTTTACTGGAGTGTGCTACATAAGCCCTCGTACAGCATGGACGCTAAAGGTATGATATGTTGCTTGTTCACGGATTGTATGCGTTTTGCGCAAAGAGGTGTCCGGCCTGAGTGGAGGAGTCTGGTGGTCGTTGAAGTTTCGTTGTCGCGGAGATTCACGCAGCTAGTGTCGGGGAGTTAGGATGTTTCCAACGCCAACTATTCATGGTGATGGTCCCGTGTGTCGTAGAGTAATATTTAAACAACAATATCATTTCCGATGGGGTAGAGTAGGTGCCTTTATGACGGACAATGTGCAGCCCTGACGGGGGAAGTGTGCCTCGCGATTCGGGGAATGATGTACATTCCCAACAGCTCTTTGCCTCGGGTGGAACCTCATGTGTCACGCGGGGTGGAATATATCAATGCATACATACATGCATATTGAAAAGTATTGCAATTCAGAGCAGCACCGTTCTGGGTACGGCGATTGTACATGCCAATTTCATCAAAAGTGTCAGTGAATGAAAGTGAGGTTCTAAACGGAGCAGGAACAGGAACATCAGTCGGTTTCCGCCCTTTCTAAGCAGCGGGGGGGTTCACGTGAACTATTCGCAACGCCCCAGATAAGCGGTGGGGTGTGGTATGTCGTCGTGTTTGTTCTGGAGGACGGAATCGTCGAAAGTGGCACCCTGAGATGGGGACCCTGTTTTGTGGTCATATTCTGATTCAGTTCTTCGCTAGCGCTGAGACGCAAGAGTTTAACCATTAATTCATTCTTTACGTAAGACATTTCTTGAGGTGGGCAGTTTTCTTTTGCTTACCTGAGCGTGTCAGCCTATCCAAACCAGGAGGGAAATCGAGATTCGAAAGGCGAGTCGAGTGACAGTACGGTGAAGCACGCAGCCACTATTTGCAGTTCGTAAGTAAGACGTTGAGGTACAGTTCATCGAATTGAAATGGGACACGTGGGACGTCTAATGGGACCCGTGGGACGTCCAATGGGACCCGTGGGACATGCCATGGGACGGCTGGAACGACGGATGGGACGTATGACGCGCCCATTTCAACTTCTCAATAGACAAAACATCTGTGGCCCGCGCGTTTTCTAGACTAAAGGTCTATAGCTAATTGGGCGATGGCGGCATGGGACTCCCCAGGGACGCCCGGAAGTCGCGCGTACCATGGTTGTCCCATGGGACACAAGGCACGTGCCTCCCCCATGGGACGCCTTGGATATCTACGTCCGGTGGAATAGCCACTGGAGGTCCCATGTGAAATTCCAATAATGTCGCGATCACGCTCCAAAAACTGCAAACAACCCCCCCATCGTTCGTTGTTGTTGTCTTCCTCAGATTGAGGCACAGCCTACGTGATGCAGATTTGCTGCAAATTTGCGACAGATGAAATAACTCTTGTTTTTGAGAGAGAGAGAGAGAGAGAGAGAGAGAGAGAGAGAGAGAGAGAGAGAGAGAGAGTTGATGGAGAAAAAATATGAACGAAAATATGAAAACAGTATCAATAACCCATATTGACACTTTCTTCGTTTCACTGAATTTGAGAGTGCAAACATGTGGGGTTGAAATACCGGGAAGTACTCGTGAGATACATCATATCTAAATTGCTGCCTATGAATGTCGCGACGGTCGGCACGGCACTGTCGGTCGGAAACAACTACCCATCTGTATTTACTTGAAAAAAACTGGGCCTGCCTGTAGAGGCATATACTTCTAGACCATAATTCTTGTGAAATGTTTCTTATGAACCGGCCGGCACTGTTGCTGTCCATGTCTCCTCTCCCTTCGTACTTTCACATACTCAGGCCGAGCACGCCTGCAGTTGACCGAAAAGGTTAGTTACATCAAACATTAGACTAAAATGTCTGGTTGTTGTCTATTCCGATATTATCTCATCTATTTCTGTACCTCCTCTCTCGGCTCTTCTTGAACACTTGATCATGTGATATTGTGGGATGGCGTGAAAAACGAGAGTATCTGCACCACCCACCATGTTGTGGTTGATTAAATCTCGACGACAAAATGTGTCAGACTGCTGTATGCACCTTCCGTCGAGAGCTAGAGTGGCAGTACCGCTGCTGTAGTCGCGTCGTGGGCAGCCGAGTGGAGCGCAAATCTCCCACATCTCCAACATCTCCGAGTTTTTGGAGAGATGTGAGAATTGTGGAGCGCAAATCTCCCACATCTCCAACATCTCCGAGTTTTTGGAGAGATGTGAGAATCTGAGTGCCGGAGATCAGAACGAGGTGTTGAGTCATCACGGGTCATCACCCATCACATCTCTCTCCCAAAGCCGCAAGGCTGGTAATCGGGCAGCTATTCTTCCTCAGGACAGCATATGAGGCTTGTTCGTAGGCTGCTCGACTTCGCACACGCTCCAATTTCACAATAAAGGACAGAGCCCCGATTACCTCGTTGGGTTCTGGCGGCGATGGGGCGGTCTCACTCGTTTCGGTATCGACGGAGGCGGAGCCGCTTGAGGACAGCCGCGGCGGCTGCGGCATTGGCTGCATCTCTCGTGGCCGGCCAGGAAGCCGTTGTTGACCCATCAGAGCACACGGGTAACCGTGGGCAAACTCAAGACCAAGGACGGGTGGACTCTGTGCCACGGCAAGGTCCTGGGAAGGGGCCAGAAGGCGACACTCTGTACAAAGGGTTCAGTGCTTACGGCATGAGAGACGTCGGTGAGGAGTGCACACCCAGCCCTCTCTGGGTCAAAGACGTCGATGCGTCGAGCTATGAGCTGGGGTGCGAAGACATCGAGGTGAGTTTTTCCTCTTTGCTTGGCGGTGATGTGCAAGTTGAACCTCATGTATATGATGCATACAATGGCAGAGGGCAGAGGAGGTCCGTGACTGCTGGCTGTTGTTGCTCTTGCAGGAGATGATTTTTCGTGTCTACTGCTGCCTCTACATAACCATGCATGAAGCACGGAAGATTCCAAGAACCGGTTCCTCCATCCTGTGCTGTTGAGGTGCAACATCAATTCTTACCTGGTACACCATGGTACTGCTGAGTTGTAGACTTAATGCTGTATACGTGAGTGTACCGCAGTTTGGTCTGCACAGCTGCAAAGTAGAGATTGTTCCGAGGGCTCGCGCATTCAAGTACAGTCGACCCGCATATCGTTTTTCTTTTGGGTGTGTCTAACCCCCCCCCCGTCTGTATCTCCGCCCACAAGGCGCCAATCGAGCCAGGACATGCACGGCTGTGTTGCTGTGATGTAGGGCTATCGCGAGACCCACCGAACAGCCGAAACGGTGAAGGTTTGGTGCAGCCATGGCTGATGGGCAAAATATATCTGTTCCCCCAACCTGCCCCCCGGGGAAGGGATTAGTGTCTAAATCCCCCCCCGTCTGTATCTCCGCCCACAAGGCACCAATCAAGCCAGGACATGCGCGGCTGTGTTGCTGTGATGTAGAGCTATGGCGAGACTTACCGAACAGCGGAAACGGTGCAGGTTTGGTGCAGCCATGGCCCATTGGGCAAAATATGTCTGTTGCCCCAATCTGCCCCCCGGGGGGGGATTAACCACTAAATCCCCCCCCGTCTGTATCCCCGCCCACAAGGCACCAATCGAACCACGAACACCGGTAGAAGTGTTTGAAACATGCGCGTAGAGCGCACAGCAGCGGGCAGCAGGTGAGGCGACCAGCACATCAAGTATTCCTGCCCACAACTTTACACGCACCCAAAGGGAACCGAACACTGCCTTCTACTCTTCTCGTGGCAGACTTCTTTCAGCTTTACAAGAAAGAATCCCACTGCTGTACATGTATGTAGCGCTTCAAGGCACCAATGAACTGTAGACGTGTGTGGAACGTGCACGTACTGCACACAGCAGCGGGCAGCAGGTGAGGCGACCAGTACATCAAGTATTCCTGCCCAGAACTTTTCACGCACCCAAAGGGAACCGAACACTGCCTTCGTCTCTTCTTGAGGCAGACTTCCTTCAGCTACACGGAATCCGACTGCTGTATGTAGCCCTTCAAGGCTTCCGTCGACACACAAACACCGGTAGAAGCGTGTGGAATGTGCACGTACTGCACACAGCAGCGGGCAGCAGGTGAGGCGACCAGCACATCAAGTATTCCTACCCACAGCTGTACAGGAACCGAACGCGGCCTTCTCACTGGTGGGGCAAAAGCCTTCCTTGCTTTCCCCTCCCCAGCGGTATGTTGTCACACAAGACTTCAGTCGACACAGGACATGATCAACTGTGTTGCTTCGCTGTAGGGCTACCGTATGACCCATCGTTGAGCCCCACCGGTTCCGTTCAGGTGGTACCACGGCCGGTGGCGTAAACTACGGTTGTGCCCCTGCGGGTGGGTGTGGGGTGGGGGAGGAAATGTGTCTAATACCCCACCATGGACCTCGCACCTCTGTACAAGGTTCCGATGGCCACACAAGAACCGCAGTAGAAGTGTAAAGATGATGCACGCACAGCACACAGCACACAGCTGCACTACACCACTGCAGCACAGCAACCAGGAGACACGGCACAAGGAGGGGGGGGGGACCTAGTACAGAATTTTGCGTGCATCATCTTTTACACTTCTACTGTGCGGTTCTTGTGTGGCCATCGGAGCCTAGTACAGAGGTGCGAGGTCTCGCGATAGCTCTACATTACAGCAACACAGCCGTGCATGTCCTGGCTCGATTGGTGCCTTGTGGGCGGAGATACAGATGGAGGGGGATTTAGACACTAATCCCCCCCCGGGGGGCAGGTTGGGGCAACAGATATATTTTGCCCATCAGCCATGGCTGCACCAAACCTTCACCGTTTCGGCTGTTCGGTGGGTCTCGCGATAGCCCTACATCACAGCAACACAGCCGTGCATGTCCTGGCTCGATTGGCGCCTTGTGGGCGGAGATACAGACGGGGGGGGATTTAGACACACCCTTTTCTTTTTCAAAGCGTCTTTATCGCGGGGAACCGTCTTTAATATTCCGGGGACGATAACTCACCACCCCCGGGGTCAATGGAGGTGTACCATACGTCGAAAGACGCCCCGTTGCAGCAGGGATACATAGCACGAAACGAGAACACCGTACACTGGCGGTCACATCGTGGCAGGGGGTGAAAGTCGAATGTACTATATAACCGAGTTTGAAGTTGCTGCACCACTAGCAGTCACACACCACCCCCAGCAATACACTGCTGAGAGGTGGGTAGTATTGCATGGCAACGTTTTGCTAAGACAGCGTGGTCTCTATATATTGTCATTGTTATGTTGTCGTTGTCCCCAGGTTGAAAATCTTGCCGACAGCTTTGACACACCGAACAAGTCCGCTGTTCCAACTCAAGCACGGAACACGTGCTATGCCACACGCCACCTACCCGACAGGGACAAAACGACGAACATAAACCAGAAATTATCGGATAAGACAGACAGCACCAGAAACAAAAACAAGGCACACTTGAAAGAAGAAACAGATTCCATCGCTTTACGCGCCCCCCCCAAAAAAACTACCCCCTCCACATGTCCCCAAGAGTGGCCTGCACCTCACCCCCCCCCTTCGCTCTTCGCTTGACTTGAGTTTCATGGGTAAACGAATGCACAGTCGAAAGAAGGTATAGTGTTTCGCCGTACTCCCCGTCCTTCCCCTTCGCGTTCAAGAAGGAGCGGCAGTCCTCGAGACGAGAGCGGACGTCGGCCTCTGTAAACGACGTTGTCATGCACGACCCTGGCCTACCGTCGCCGTCTTCCTCTACTCTTCACTGGACACATCGTCATCGAGGTCTATGTTGTCAAGGTCCTCCTCTACACCCCGCAGCTCCATTTCTATCTCTTCCTCCAACACCTCTGGGTCATCCTCTACACGAAGCCACGTCTTCACTGCCTCACGGACTTGAACCTCATTGTCTTCAGCTGTTCTCTTCTGGCAATCGGTACACTCTCTCTGCTGCCCGTAGCCCTCCGCTCCGATGCCCCGACCACAAAACGCATGCATGGATCGCCCGCAAGGGCACAGATGAACCCCTGACCCAAGTTGAGACTTCATCGTGCACGTTGGTTCACCATATACTGTCAAGCCGGCGGTGGACGAGCCGCCAGCAGACGAGAAGAATCTCTCCATACCCACACGAAGTAGTAACGCCAGCAGCAGCAGACAGCTTTCTGTGCTGTCTACACGGGCGTGCTGGTGTGCTGCACCATGAATTTTGGGAGGGGGGCCGAAAATAACACCTCCCCCCTATGTTGTATGTCTGCGGGGCACCCTGGTTCAAGATTTTGTTTCCGTCTTTATCGCGGGGAGTTGCCTTAAGACGAGCGTCTTTAAAGCGGGGACGAGTGTAATGGATGCAATGTAGCGCAGAAGAATTTTTGACGCTGGCTCTTTTCTCATACTATAAATCCAATACGGAGAGAGAAAACAACCTTCCCTCCGGTAACCTGGTATTTTGTACTTACAGTGTAGCACAACACGTAGTTATCAGTAAGACGCCATGAAGAGGCGTCGTGCGTGCTGGCACGTTCAAGTTGCTACTGGAGCTGAAAAAAACAGTCCGATTTCTGCACCGGAACCAAGCGGAATCTATAACATTTGTGACAGCCGTGCTCACCGCCACGAACCGTCAGCAGTAGCTACATAGTGGCATCAGCTACTACAGAGGAAACCCGGATTTCAGGAGATTTGGGTCAGTGGCGGCGAGCACACCCAGTACAAGACACCGTAATTTGCGGAGATTTTCCGGAGATTGATTAGGTCACTGCTACAGCACAGAAGCAGATTTGAGATCACCAACGCACCCCCCCCGCTGCTATAAGACCTCCTACATGTAGTGATTATTAGTTCTTTGCACCAGGTTCCTGGCAACACCGACCTTTCGAGCGCCTGCCGTTCTGGCCCTTTTGGAGTGTGATTTCAAAGGAGGCGTGTGGAGGTAGACGCGTGAAATGTATGTTTTGAGCAACCGCTATTGCCGCCCTGTGCGTGAATCAACGATTTTTGTTTTTCGCGACGCCATCCGACTGGTATTGTGTGTCTGTCGTGCAATTTCCGCTGGTGCTCTTTCGTTTGTGTGTTTTTCAAAATTTGTCAACATCGAAATTCTCACTTGAAAATTCTTCTTGTTAGTGTGGTATTGTGGTATTGTGGTATTGTAATACCTTTATAGGATTTAGTATGGTTAAACTTAAACTATACACCTCTTTGCTATATGGGTTCTTACCAATCAATGTTGTTGTTGTTGTTGCTGTCTTCACATTAAAAACCGTTCCGATCTCTCTCTATCTAGTAGCTTCATCTGTGCGTACCAGTCTAACACTTGACACTTGACGCGGTCGATTGCCGTGGTCACAGGCTAACCTTCCCTTGGCGCGAGAGTCTGGCATAGCCCGAAAAAAAAACGCCCCGTCTGTATGCTGGGATGTGTTTCTATTTTTTTTGTCCCAGGCGGTAGGTTGGTTTACAGCAGTACCGATGATCCCTCCCCACACACCGAAGCAACAACAATGACGATGACATCTGCCACGAGCTGTGTGTTTATCGCTCCCTTTCCTCGCCAGTGCTGTCTTTCGCCTCCTAGAAGTGTTGCGTGTTTAGCTGAGTGCTTCCTCTGTTTCTCCTGGTTTGGGGACAATTACCTGTCAAGCACGGCCATCTGTTGTCGGAGCGCGACAAAACCGGTGTGACGAAGAGTGCCCAAATTATCTTCCTCGTAAATCGGTGCTCTGCAGACCTCATTCTCGTCTAATGAAGGCGATAATCTGAGGATGAAGGGAAAAATGTCGCGCTTCGCTCTCCGCGGCTCGTCATTAAAGCTCTGCGTACGCGCGTTACGTTTTTTGGTCTGCTACGCCCTGCGACTACCACCAGTCCCCCCCCACGTAATACTTTCAACAGTGTGGACGTAACGGTGTGGTGTATAAACGTATACACCCTTCCATACCTAAGTGTACAGCTGTACTTGCATAAATTGAAACATCCCCTCAAACAAACAGAAAAAACAAGCATTTGCAGAATCACAGAAAGAGGTCTCTCTTTCATTTTTCCTTTGCTTCTCTCGACCCGTGCTTGTTCACCCAAACAAGCTTGGCTTTACGAAGATGATAGGAAACGTCGGGCATGCCGCCGTATTTTGCCGTTTATGGGTGGGTCTATGTTCGCCAGACTCTGTTTGAGAGGATTCCTCTGGAACAAGGCAATCCTTCTCTTGTATCGGTTTTCGCCGTGACCAGGGAATCCATTCTTCTTATATCCGTACTTCTTCCAATATCGATTGCCTTTGATCGTAGCCCGCACTGTATTGGACTCGATGAAGCCCTACATTGAGAACGAACCAGGGACATCCGGACCAAGAGATAGCATGCATATATATGTACGCGAGAAATGGTGACACGAACCAACGGTGCCAAGAATAAATGTGGGCGGAATGAGGTCTCCGCTGGACACTACCTTGATAACCCGCAGCACATGCTGTTTGACCTGTACGACATCACCCCGAAGTAGTAGCTGCTTATGCGAGGTGAATATGAATCAGGGCGGTTCTAATCATCAACCTTTCGGGATCTTGAGCCGGACTCGAATCTCGAATCTCGGTATCGAGGGTAGACTGAGCATCGTACCCGACCGCGAAACACAACAACCGGTGCAACCTGAGAGGAGAACACGCCGTCCTTGACAGCACCGCAAAGACGGGCGTGCCTTGCAACAACTGTCAGCATAGGTCGTACCTTGTACGTATTGTTCGGCTGACCTCTTGTGTCGGCGGGAAATGTTTCACAGGATATGCTGGCAAACAACACGAGACTCGTCGGGGAGGGCCGTGTACGAAAAGTGTACTTGGCAGAGTACGGGGAACAAACGGTAGCTGTGAAGGTACTCCAGCACCAATCGGATACTCGCTTGCAGCAGATCGAGGTGGCAACCATGGATGCGGTGAGTTGGTTAAAAATGTGGTCCTGTGCCTCGCCCGAGACGACACTTGGGCTCGCATTTTGGCTTCACCTTTGCATCACTGGTCCTTGGCGGTTGGCTGTCTGGATGTTATTGCATTGGTGTCCCTGTCGTGAAGGTATACACATTTCCTGTTTGCGTTCTTATTTCTTCAGAAACCGTGTTGCCTCGTCCTTTGTTTTTTTCAAGTCCGCACCGGCCAAAACAGCTAAATGCGTGAGTGTGGTTGGCAAGTCGGTGACGACGCGAGAAAGGGCACCCAAGGTATAGCGGGGACGCAAGAGGTGCTCCCTAAAGGAGGGCATACGTTTGTGGTGTGCCTTCACGTATCTTGTTTCGTATCGTAAGTTACCCCACGTCTCCGGGTGTGACCGGGGGTCCAGCTGGCCTACAGTCACCCATTCCTCAGCACATACCCGTCTTTTTGACATCGATCATTTTTTTTGTTCGAACTATGTGTAGTGTAAATGTTATCATTGTCGAAAAAGAGACATCGGTCCTCCAAACAACAGGACCGCCAGTAACAGCTAGAAAAGCAGCCCGAGGAACAGTGAAGTCGTAGCGCGACCCCAGCTAGTAGCGAGAATCAATAAACCAGGAACGTGCGCACCATAGGTACACCGTATCCCTGCACGACCCCCTTAGCCTTCTGCGGTATTGCAGTCTGGATTCTTCCGAGGCGGGATGTGCAGTGAGTCATCTGATTCATGCTGGGGCATGGTTGGAGGTCGCGCTCATCACTAACGTATATTCCCAGCTGCATTTCAATATCGAACGGCACGAGTTAAGAGCGCGTGGGTGTTTTATCTTGCTCGCCGCATCTGCGCTACGGCAGAAGCCCTGTTGATACTGATGACATGTGATAAAAGGCCACCGCTCTAAACGTTGGTAGGAACACGTGAGATATTGACTTGTTTGTGAGGCGAGCACACCACGTGAGAGCGTAAATCGCCATCGTGGGAGTTGTTGATTCCTCACCAAGGCGGATGGTAGCAGTGACATGAAACTTCCGCCCCTGCGCTCGGTGTATTTGGCGGATGCCACCAAACGACGTCAACCCACCCGATTCCTGCTCGTCTGTCTTGACGCCGATCGCGGGAGCAGGTCAGGGGCAATCCACACATCGTTCAAACACTGGGCATTTGCAACACCACGGTGGTAACCGAGGCCTACATGCTGGATATTCAATCCGCTGTGCGCAAGCGCATGACGGCTCTACCGATCGGCGAGGCCGTCACGATGTCCTTGGACGCCGTGAGAGGCCTGCAAGCCCTCCACGAGGCTGTCGGAGGCCCAATCGTACACTTCGATATCAAACCAGCCCAGCTTCTGGTGACCGGCAACGGGCGAGTGAAGCTAAACGATTTTAACGTTGCCTGGTTCATGAGCCGACGGCCAGACGGGAAGCCGTGTCCGTTCAATATGCTGGCCCAAATACGGAATAGCGGCCCCTGGAGAGCTCCCGAGTACCTCACCCGAAAGGTCAGCGACAGGAGACCGCGCGAGTCGAGGTGTTTGTTTTATTTGATTGGTTCACTGTTGCGGTCGCCGAGGATGCTGGCTGCAAGACAAAGTCATAGTAGGCGGCAGGCGACAGCGTTGCTGACGGCCTTACCGGAGGATAGAAGTATATCTGGCGGGGCCACTGTTTTGTTTTGCGAATGTTACATGCCTTGTTTGAGTATGACCTTGTAGGACCGAATGGCGGCAGATTCATTACGCCGATGGCGTTCATTGATGGAATACGCTGGGGACAACCAGGAAGACGCTGAGGACAACCAGGAGGTACGTCCCCCGCCCCCTCACCCAAGCACGTGCGTCAGCAACGTCCCCGAATGCACCTGCACCATGGCAATGGCGGTATCACAGTAAAACCTGACGGGCTGCAACTTCCCTCCACAGCGCTCAACACCAACAACGGAACACCTCCGTCCAACCGTGAAAGAGCGGTGGAAATTCATATGGATGGTATGAGCCGCGGCTGTGCGGAACACATGACGTCGCGATTCTGTCAAGTCGGTTGCCGGTTTGAGACTTAACCTTCTGACTGGAAGTCTCAAGCTTTCTGAGCATGGAACTCACGGAGGTGTTGGTTAGCTTTAGGGGCGTCGGTTCCGCCTTCTGAGGCAATCACAAGTTCGTCTCCACGACACGACACCACGGAATGATAACAATATATGCAGCTCCTGCATGACCCCAACTGGTGCGTGTTCCAAACAGTTTATATGCTCATGTGTATCATTACAACACCCCCCCCCCCAACAGGACGTGCGCCTTGTTCCAACGGCGTTTTTCGCATCCCCATTGTTTTTGCCCCCTTTCATCGTCGTTTTGGTATCCTTTTTAGCCCATGACGGAGAAAATAGATATCTACAGGATGGGTCTAGTTTTGCGAAAATTTGTAGCTGGGGAAGGCATGCGCATACCAGGGGCGCGGGAAGCTAAGGGTGCTATCCCCGTTTTCCGCACAACGTGGCACAGGAGCTACAGTGAGGTGCGTCCGTTTAGTATGATTTCGTCGTCCTCGCTAACCGCCTGACCAATGAACATTTCTCACTTTTAATGCGGGACAATCTAACGTGAACATAGGTCAACGGGCGTTACCTTGTCTGTATGTGTGAATCATATGTTGAAGCTGCTACAGTAGTGCGGGCAGTCGCCGCCTCCGCAAAAGATGGGTATGATCACGTCATTTAGTATGTGTGCCTCTCTATCGTTTGCATTATTCGCTCCCATGGAAGTACACGCAAGTCGCCCACCCGAAAAACTTGGTAAGAGTTCAGAACGTCCTTTCATCAGTTTGAAACCTGAACGGGCTACATGCGATTTGAATGGGTTGTCAGCTTTGCCAATCATTCCATTGACAGCCCTTTTGAAGCACTGTTGTTAACGGGACGGCGACGTTGGCCGCCCTCCAATTTCGCCGACCCTGGTAACTACCCGTGGTCGTTGTTTTGCTGACCCTGCCTGACAACCCCGTGGACACCAATGTGCTTCCCATTGTATAGATCGTTCAAGACATGATTGCGGTGGAGGCCACGCAAAGACCGTCCGCTCGCGAAGTCTCTAAGCGGTTAGAGGTGATCCTGCAAGGGCTACCCCAAGTCCCCTAGACAACAACAACACATCATTTTGGTGCCCAACCGTTTCAAGCAAGTGTGGTTGTGCACCTAGACTTGTCCCAGGACGGCCGGGTTCTGAGAGAACGACTCTGATCCTCCATGCTGTTGTGTCGACTTTGTTGTCGTCGTTGTGGCCGACGTTCGCTGCAGTTCACTAATGTAGGCATGAGCCGTCGTGCAAAACGGATGCTGAAAGCCTTGTCTGTAGCTTGATTTGAGATTGCATGCGTCCGTGAAGACGTGTCCGGCCGGAGAGAGAGACGAAATGAGTCCGCTCGCCAGTGAAGTCCCTGTAGTCGCGGAAACTACTCAAGAACTCGATGACCGTTATTCAGTCAGCTTATTTCGGAGGGGGGGGGGGGGGTGTACTCATACTCATACTCATAGTCGTGCATGCCGTAGTCGTTTGACCATTGACCTCGCATCCCTACAAAGCCGGGACGGAGCACGCCGGGTTCTCACCGGACCAGGCTCTCACATCACCAAGCGCGAAGCGCCGTGAGGTATTTGGCGAGTCGCATGAAGGGTGAGCTGCATCCTGCTAAGGGTGTTCGGCATCTTGTGCTTACTTCCTTGCGTACGGATGACAGCTACGTATGACTTAATTTATTTTCTGGTGCTTTCACTTCCAGAGACAGTTATAAGCACTGTGTAACTGCCTCGAGGAAGCTTGACCATTTTAACACAACGTGGTGCGATCATCCCCCGTTGCGCGGAGTGAGGTTTCTCGACCCCGCACAACATGATCTACTCGACCACCATTATGGTTACCGCCAAAAAAAAAACCAGAGGTGAAAAAAAAAGACGGTAACCTGGTTGCCGAGTTCGAAGTGAATTGGCTTGTTTTACAACGTCGTTGCCAAGCGACGAAAACCCAATCCCGATGGCAAACACCGAGTGGGGGGGGGGGACTCATAGCCGTGCAGGCCGTAGTAGTTAGACCAACGCTTGTTTCGGCAGGGGGAGACGATTTCAGTTTTCAACGCCAATCGGTCCTGGTAAGGTGCGTGTGTCCTATTAAAATTGCGACATGAAAGAAAGAACGCTACGAACAATTTATTGCTCATTCTTTCCCAGACTCTGTGGAAGGGATTAATTCGTTTTGGTATTGTGCCAAAAACACATTTCCGAGTCGGGTAAACGAGAGAGAGTACTTCGTTGTCATTGTGACGTGCAATGACCATTTTTTACGGAATCTGAATAGATCAGCTGCGCCACGAGACGTTGCCTCTCAAGGTGCCGCTGTTGTTGCTGACGTTCTCTCGGTCGTGCGTGAGGTGGTTAAAAAGGATCATGCGTGTGTGCCAATCTTTATTTTGTGTTTTTTTTGGTTTGTTTTGGTCAGACTTTTGTTTCTTGTAACTTTTGGGGACCCAATATCTGCGTATGTGCAGCCCTCTGTGACTGGGGGAGATAAGATTTCCTCATGATTCGGGGTATGATACAGACATACCATACTGACTGCTGTCAGCACTGGTTTGCCCATGTAGCTATTGGTAAAGGCGTCACGCGGCGCATATATTCATTGGCATGAATAGTTGACATAACAATCGCCATGCTTGTGCGACGATTCTTCCAACCCAATTTGAATCTGTTATTTGAAAGGCCCATTCGCGAAAGTTGGAGGCAGAGGGTTGTTGGTGGCTCAGATCCTGTGGATAAAGGATTTTTTTAGGGGTATAATTAACGGAAGCCAATTTCTTCGTTTTACAACCACGAACGGTGAAAAGAGAACAACATTGAAACTGATTTCGCGGAGACATTATTTTTTTTTAGTCAAAAACTAGGCTGCTTGCATAGCTTAGCAGTAGACTAAGCAACCGCTAGAGTGAATCCATCTCCATCCACGGATGGATGTGAGTCCAGATACACCCACTTATATCATGAACCCATAGTAAACGGAGCGCACCTTTGTTTCTACGTACCGTATATGACACAAGATAACACACCCCCTTGACCGATTTTCAAAGCTCGATTTCTCAACAGCAGGAAGAGTCACAGCGCCGAAAACGGCGGCGTTGGAACCGTCTCGTCGAGAGCTGTTCGAAAACGTATTGTTTCATTTATGCATCCTCTTCGTCGTGGAGTAATCGAGCTTTGAAAATCGGTCCAGGGGGTGTGTTATCTTGTGTCATATACGGTATGGTGGTTCCCCGATTGTTTGTTTCGTTTGTTTGCCAGTTCTTCGAGATGATACTTTGAAGTATGCACGACGAGCGAGTGGATCACGTTTTTTTTGGGTGTCGTGTGAGACGGTGCAGGAAAAATTGTTCCGCCAGTAGTTACGAAAGCAGGGGCGGGGGGCGGGGGGCGTACTCTTACATTTTGCATGCGTTCGCGGCCAGACCATTGACCATGCGTCCTCGAGAGGACGGAGGGTTTCGTTCCCACAGGACCGATCACCGATGGGCAATCGTTCCTTGATTCTTGTACCATTTTTGCCAAAGGTGGCTCAAAAATGAACAATTAATAAATGTTTTCCGTCGGGCCTATTTTCTGTCCTAACGAAATCAAATCCTTCCCGCCTTGTCAACCCCAGCAGCTGCTATATATATATATATAGACTATACCGTCTTCTCCTGGCTGTTCCATGCCTCAAACATCTCCCTGTACCTTCCTTCTACTATTTTTCCCACAGCTATATATAGCTGTATTGATTATCATCAGTCGTCGTGCTTCGCTTCCTTCCTCATCTCCTTGTTGTACGGTACATAACAACGGACACACACTCAATATTGGACACACATGGACTAACTAAAATACTCCGGAGTACATAACTTTTAACTACCCCGCGGTCTTCGCACTCCCGGAGCCGCGTGTGCTGCTTCATTCTGTACCTTCGAATCCTCGTCTACGTTCTCGAAAGCCAATGTCCCCGGTCATGTCCTTCATTCTTCAGCTTCCCTGCATCTAGTCAGTGGTCGTGCAGGTACTGCTGCTGCTGCTGCTGCTGTTGTACTTGACTATTCCTTGAATCATTTTTTTCGGTCTTTCAACATTCCGCAGCACACATCGACTACAATACAACATGTATGTGGAGACCACCTTCATAAAGGTAGAAACTCCCCAACGTCTGTCGAGGACGATTCCCTCTTTTCACAATGGCGTCGACGTGAGATGTCAGGGTGTCTGCTTTTGGTTGCAAAAGACACGGGTTCAAAACCCGCTGGTCACTAAATTTTCTTCCGGATAACGGAAAAAGAAAAACGGTGGGTGGGCCAAGGGAGGACGCACTGGCTATCGAACTCGGAACTTCTGAAAACGTGGCGGACGTAGCGAACCCGTAAAACACGTACAGAGGATTGTGAGGAATGTGAATCGCCCCGCCGCCAGCCGGTCGGGTTCCGGTTACCCCAAGAAGACTTCTCTTGCCTGGGCAACAAGAAAAAGTCTCGAAAAAAGGGGGGGGTAATGTGGAGACCACCTTCATAAAGGTAGAAACTCCCCAACGTCTGTCGAGGACGATTCCCTCTTTTCACATGTAATGTACTTTTTTTTTGTACTACAGCAGCAGCATGCATGTACCGTATTTACAGTATATTACACAAGACAACACACCCCCAGGACCAATTTCCGAAGCTCGATTACTCCACGACGAAGATAATGCATAGATAGACGAAAGGATACGTTTTCAGAGAGCTCTCGACCAGACGGGTTGACCGCCGCCGTTTTCGGCCCTGCGACTGTTGCTGCTGTTGAAAAATCGAGCTTTGCAAATCGGTCCAGGGGGTGTGTTATATTGTGTCATATACGTACGGTATATTGTACACGGACCTCTCCTTTTGCTTTCAGCTTTAGGCGGGGGGGGGGCGGAAGGGAGAATAACTAACATACGTACCCTGTAGCGTTTGTACTTACATCGCCTGTCAATGCACCGGTAGGGTTTGCTTTTTTGTACATGTATGCATAGTATCGTCCTGTTTGCGTTGGAAGACGAAACTGCAACAACGCAAAGTGACACCGTGAGATGGGAACCCTTGATGATGCTATTATTATGTGTATGTGCATTTGTTGTTGTTGTCTTCACATGTAAAACCGTTCCGATCTCTCTCCTCCCAGTACCTTCATATGTCCGTACTGATCCAACGCTTGACTGACGCGGTCGATTCCTCCCGTGGTCACAGCAGAGGCCAACTTACCCTAAAAATGGTACACAAATAAAATGGTCCCGAGGGGTCCGCGAGTTTTACGAAATCAACGACAGATTATTTTTTGGAGTCCTCGGCTCCCTCTGCGCGCTATGCAAGGTAAAAACTGAGACTACGCTTTCTTTATGAAACAATAAACGAAAAAATTCAGGAGTCAGCATCACGGGTCAGAGAGAAAGAGGTACACCCACCCCCTTAATTCAATCTTGGTGCTTCACAGGCACAAGCAGAGACAAGGCCATCTGACACAGAAAAAGAGAGAACAAGAGCGACCAAGAGAAAAAAGAGAAAAGAAAAAATAAAAAAATAGAAGGAATCAGGAAGATACAGAATACGATAGTGTGTAGAATAGCGCTACCAGCTCGCTCCAGTAGTACAATGTTACCGTGGCCCTTTCAAAAAATTCATCGGGGAAACTACTCTAATTTCCCCGAAAAAAAAAGTATATTGTATAGTGTTCGAGGACTCTGGCCCCGGGACCACTGCTACGTCACCCGCCTGCAAAGAGAGTTTGCATATCATATATCTATGACCGTTGCCACGAAGACAGCGACAAGACATGTCTTCGACACAGAAGAATCGGATTGTCGCTTGCTTGCGTATGGACGCGGATAGTTTAGAAGCACTCTTACCGTATAATATCTTGGTGCTATAGATAGCCCGCAGGTGGAGTTTTGGTCCCCCGCCGTGATTTGCGTCGCTTGCTGCTGACTGTTGAATGTTGACGGGGTATTTCGCCTTCTGTCACACACAGACAGACGGTAACTACCGCTTCCTCTTTTCCAGCTGCTCTTTTCCTCTCACACCCGCACTCTTCTCACAAGCTCCCAACACAACCACAACAGCGAAGGGACAAGAGCTCTTCTTCCTCCAGGTACAGAGAGAAGTGCTTTTGTCTATGTAGGTGGTAGGCAGTGTGTGAGCGCAGTCGTGGATGAACTACAGCAGAACTGCTACAGACCTACCTATTGCATCTGCGATTTACATTTGGGAGCCCTGCTGCTGCCACAAGGAGTATTTTTTGCCTCTCGCATCTTCTCGCTTCTACACAAACATTTTGGAGTTCGGATGTCCCCCCGCCGCACGATGGCATGACATGACCTGTGGAGAGGGCAACCCAGTACATGGGGCGAGGATTGCTCGCGTGCTTACGCTGCTTACGGCGGTCCCGGCGAGAACAA